TTATACAAGCCATTGCACATTGTCACATAACATATATAGCCTATATGTGTGTGTGTATGTGTGTGTATATATTGTATTTTCCTTCTCAAGTTAAGCAAAAGAGTTTTTTTAACTCAGTGACACTCCTTGGTTTGAGCTGTGCAGCTTCAGGATAACCACACAAAAAAGCCCACTCCACGTAAAACTGCATCCTGATCTCTTTAACACAAGAGTTCAGTTCTTCAGAGGCGAGGTCACTGCCAAAACCTCGTGTGTCCACGTCCTCACAAGTTCTACTGGTGATAAATCTGTACAGCAGGGTGCTCCTCAGGTTTACAGGTGGGGGGTGAACATGTGAGAGCTCTTGGTCTTTGTTTATTTCTTGCTTCTTTTTTTAAATTTAATATCTTTTTTTTTTGGCTATGCTGGGGTCAGCTGCAGGAGTGGAGGGTGGCACTAAGGGGGCAGCAGCGGGGGCTTGAAGGTGCAGGCTCCAGAGCACTGACGAGGAGTGAGCATCTTGCAGGAGAAATGATGAAGAGCATCGTGAGCTTCTGGGGATGAAGGGGTCCATCAGTGGGGTGGGGTGGGGGGTGGTGAGGGGGGTCAGGCAGGAAGGGAGAAAACAGACAACATTCTCACAAATAAGAATCAAAATCATCAAACATGAAATGTTGCTTCATCTCTAAAACTGTAGCAATGTCTGTCTCCAAAGCAATATTCATGCACGTTAAAAGTGATTGGCTTTTGAAGAACAAGTCAAAAATCATGAAAGGAAGTTGACAAAATATTTGTTAAATAACTAAAAAATAAAAAAATCACATGTTGCACATCTGTGAATGGCGAAATATTGTAAACTAAATGTTTTCTCATCAGTTCTGCTCATCTGTTTAGAAGAACATCATATATATATATATATATATATATATATATTTACATATATGGCTAATCGGGATCATGGGAATGATTTTTAGTTGGTCATTCAAAAACTTTACCAATCTTTTGTTGGGATGATTTGTTTTGCTACATGACCAGCTTTCTCCCTCCTGCTGCCCTAAGGTCAAAATGATCAACAAGGCCTTATAAAACCTTGTGGATTATTTTGACCCAAAGGCAGCAGGAGGGTTATGGCTCAATTCAAAGATATATGTTTTGATATTTTGCTTTAATGTTTTTTCATATGGAGTACAGAAACTGACACAATTAAAAATAAAAGCAGGAGTATATAAATTGACCAATATATACATAAATATACTACATTAAAAAAGGGAAACTTTATCTCATTTTTCATCATTTTATTGACCTTCGTATTTATTTTTCCAGCTTGGTTCTAACAAATTATATATTTAGGCACATAATTAAAATATTACTGTTCTAAACAAAAAAAATTTCCTTGTACTTTTACGTGCATTTGTGTCTCTTAATTCTTTTTTAAATTTTTTAAATTGTTTATTTTCCCAAAAGTCTTTTCATTTTGATGTGCTGTTTCTACATTTCTCTGTCTCTTGTTTTTGATTTCTGCCTCATTATGCAAATAAGGTGGGTGGTCCTTCTTGGCTCAGCTCCTCTCCTATTGGTCAACAGACAGTTAGGAGCTGGATCCATGCGCAGATCGACTGTGCATGCAGAACACGTGTGAAAATAGACTTGTGGGATAAAACAATAAAAAAAATGAAATAAAAATATTTTCAAAAACAGTAAAATTTGTTGGAACTAAGCTGGAAAAATTAATTAATTAATTAAATTATTAAACATTAAGCAAAGTTCTCCCTTTTTAAATTAGATAGTGCAGTTAAGTGTATTTATTTATTTATTGGTCCATTTATATACAGTATATTGCTGCTTTTATTTTAAGTCAGTTTCAGTCCTCCATACACAAAGGTCACCATGACACATTCTCCAAGTGCTACAAACAGGAAGACATACTGGCATGAAACCCTGGTATACTGACCCGTCTGTTAGAAAAATATCCTACAAACCACTGGACTTGGTTTAAATTAAACTCTCAGAAGACAATGACTTGATGAACAACTGATAATGTTTACAATAAACCCCTTTTTTAAAACAACCATCTAAGCTCAGAAAACAGAGATGGCTTTAACTCTTTTTTTTTTAGATTGAGCTAACGTTTGGTACAACAGYCAAGACCGATTCCAACACACACTCAGAACTTTACATTGCATTAACGTTTGGAGTTAATCCTGTTTGTCTGTTAGCAAACATACGTCACGAACCAGTGGCCAGATTTTCAACGACCTCACAGCTGACTGAGCTTAGCCAACGACAAATAACTAACTCCGTCAGTTTTATGGAGACTGAACTAAAATTAGAGCTGCAGAGTAGCTGAGAGTCATCCACAACACATCCTCTGAGCACAAACCACACAGGATCTTTATCCTTTGTTAACATAAGATGATTTTAGGTTAAAGCTCTGCTGGTCTTCTTTTTCTCAGTGTGTTTAACTTCAACAGACWACCCTACTTCTCTTCATTCCAACAAGTGAACTTGTTTCAACGTCTTTCATTTTCTTTAGCCTCGTTTCGTTCCAGGTGACAAGGAGCTGGTGTGCAGCGTCACTGTGGGAACGGTGGAATCTGAACAGGTCAGGAGTCCTTCACAGGGCTGGATTTTAGCAGCTCTGTTGGAAACGCTTCTTGTTAGTGAGTCGTTGGGGTTATTTCTTCACAAAAATCTTACTGTTTGCAAAGGTTAATGTTGAGACTCAAAAAACAAATATAATRGATTTAATTAAAAAATTATGTTCCACTCRRMTGACCTGAGTAAAGGTAACATATTTATGCAATCAGTTTTTTGAGTGTTCCTGGAAGTTGGGCAGCATCCGGTTTTGGATTTATTTATTGGATTATTTTTTGCTTTTATTTTACCCTGTGTCTGAAGTTAATTTGGTGTGAAGCACCTTGAATAATAGCACATGAAGAAATTTTACTTTCTTAAAAACCTCCCATATTTGGAAGATGAAATACCACAGACAAATGCATGCAGGGGAGTTTTAAAAAGATCATATTCTTGTCTTGTGAATTTGAAAATGAAGAATCAGAAATCTGTACATTTTACCCCTCAGTGTGTCTGAGTCGTTTAAAGTCCAATAACTTGCTGTAAAACCATAAAGTCAGTTTGTCCCGCGGCCGGATTTCTCTTAACTAAATAAAAAGTCATCTTTATTTCCACTGAATATTTGGGTTATTTGCTGCTTTGAAGGGACAAATGAATGTGTTCCAGTATTTGTTGATTTTTTTTTCTGCTTTAAATGCAAAACTGACGAGGAATAAAAGATTTTTGTTTGACACCATGACTGTGATATTTCAAAGTAAATACACATCTCATCACCTTGCTTCACCTTGAACAGCCAGCAGCTCYGTGTAGATTTTATAAAAAAATAAATAAATACTGGTTTGAAATATTCAGCTGCTTCATTCAACATCTTTTAAACGTGAACTTTTTGACTTCTTCTCTCACCAGTGCTTTTATGTCTACATCAAGGAATGAATTGAAATCTAAAACATTTTAAATCTCAAAGCTCTCAGCCTCCTTTGACTGTAGATGGTGTTGCATGTGGCGGTGTCTGTCTGAAGATTACAATCCTCACAAGCATGAAGACGAGAGAACAAACAAGTTAGGACACAGCTGTCATTATTGTTCTGTTTCTTCAATAAACTTTGGTTTTTGCAGCTCACGCTCCAGTTTTTTAGTCTTTATTTAATCAATAGCAGCCTATTTCACAGTTTGCATTTGGAGTGAATTTTCTTGATCAGCTTCTGGACAAATTGCATTTATTTCCTACATATTGCACTCATTCAGTCCTAAAAGTTCAAACTGAAAGTTTTGTGTTTTTCTAATCCCGATGAGCATCAGATCTCCTTCTTTTTTGAGATGCATCAACATGTGCTGCTTTGACAAATCACCTTTCATTTAAAACACCGTTTGAACAGATTCAAGCCGCTCCTCCTTTAAACAGTATCGTTTCATTGTAAACTACGCATTTTATCTCATTTGTTACTTTCTTGGTTTAGTTTTAAAATCTGAGATAAAATTAATAATTCTACTTATTTTCTAAAGCCGTAATATGGGGTAAACAAGTGCCAAGTGTATAATTTGAAAAAAATTGTACTTTGTATCAACATCACAATATAATGAAGTTTTGACATGACTTCAGTGTAAGCGTTGAAGAATATGTTTGTTTTTACAGCTCGCATTTTGCTGTCAGGCAGAAACCTTATAAATAAAACCTTTCAGGGTACAAAATAAAAATATTTTTAAATAAATRAACTCTGGTCACAAGCTCGTTTTGACACGTTCCCATATAAAGTCATTACAAAACCTGACAGATGGGATTTATGCAAAAACATGCAAATGATGAAAAATATAGATGTTTTTAAATCTTACAGCTAGTTTTCTTTTTCAACTACACTCTAAAAATGAAATGTTGGATTTACTTAACCATGTTATGTGACCTGGTTCCTCTTAACTGAGTTGAGTAAATTCAAAGCAACATATTCATGTTCTTTGGCTAAAAAACTGGTATATTGCTTTGAATTTACTCAACTCAGTTAAGTGGAACCAGGTCACATAACATGGTTAAGTAAATCCAACATTTCATTTTTTACAGTGTACAATATCTGTATTTCCTATGTTTCCACCCAAAAATCACACTAATTTGAAACGTTTTTCATTTATACGTTTTTAAACAGAAAAGGAGAAGTGATTTGCTTTTCCCTTCCTTGTATGAAACAGCTGATGGAGCTGATTCTCTACTTGAGAACGAGACGCTGCAGAAAACGCTGAGATGAGATGACGTCATTTAAAAAGCACCAGTGAAATCTGCATYAGCAGAAAACAATATTTTGGTTTTGTTTCATGCATTTTGTACTTATTAGCGCTTTCCTGAATATCTTCAATTATTTCATTTTTATGCATTTTTTAAATTAAAACCAGGATCTTGAGCTGAACTTCAGGTTTTGAAACACCAGACAGGAAAATGTGTGACACTGACTGTGCAAGGTTTTCCTCATTGCTCACACTAAAAATGCTTTACAGCTGGTAAAATCATGAAACAAACATTGTGCTGGGTGATACCTTCACTGCCTGCATGGACTTATGAGTGTCGCCTTAAGACAGATGCTAAAAGATTGTCTCACTGCAAATATGGACCACTGATCACAAGAGGTGTAGAACAAAAAAAAAGTAGCACTTGCATATTTATATAAGCAGGCAGAAAAGTGAAAAAAGAGTTGTTGTTTTGGACCACAAAAATTACCTTTTAGTTTCTGCTGAATTGCATAACGAGCCTTTCTCTCTTGGTCCAACTCGCTGCACAAAGTGTCTATCAAAAAAATATAAAAAATAAAATAAATGAAAATAAAARAAGTGGTCAAAACTGATTATTTAAAAAAACAAAACAAATAAACAAGCTGTGTCTTAAGTGGAGGGGTGTAATGTATGCTGTTTGCCMCGGTGGTATTTAGAGTGACCCCTCCGTGTTCTCCAACCCTGTATTTAAACAAATGAAACATTAAACCAATCCGTTAACGGGCCGCATTAGTTGCTGTCTACTGCATGTAACCGATACAGCTCTGCATAATGGGCTGTCCGTTCAATTTTCCAGAGCATGATTTAGAAGAAAATAACCTTTGCAAACAAAACAACGCAGTTTCAGTTTCACCTGTTTCTTTTTTAAATCTRCTCATCTAATCGACGTGGAGCTTACATGAAAACTTAGACTGCCGTTATTTCAATATGCAAGTGTCACTTTTCCTTTTTTTTAAATGAATTTTAGAAATCAGTTGGCTCAGATTGAGCGACATAGTTGAAATTATAATTTTTGTTACAGCTTCAACAAGCAGTGAGCGACAATCTGCACTCTAAAAATGAAATGTTAGATTTAGTTTTTCTACGCTTTTCACTAAGCCTTTTTATAAAAATGTGCAAAATAAACTTCATTATTGAAATTCTGACTGCGTCAAATGGATGGTGGAAAATAAAAAAAAAGTGTTTTCCAAAACAGAGCAAAATAGCTCAAATTTTGCACAAAAATTGCAGCCCAGTGGCCTTGGGAGTAAACTGCACATACAAAAAAAAACCACTTCATTTAGTAAAAAGTAAGTAAAGTGGTAAATATCATTCGTAGTATTTTGTTGCTTTAATACCAATAAAACCTGCTTATTTTGACTGTTTAAACATGAACCAAAAAAGCATTTAACTCCAGATCAAATATCGGTGTGATGCCTTGCTCAAACTGTGGTTTTTTTCAGCTCTCGTAAACAACCGGACCGTCCACATCGTTCAGCTCTACGTCCTAAAGTCTTGATAGCAACCTGCCTCACACTGTGACGCCAGGTTTGTTAGAGCAGACTGTACGATGTTTTATGATGGAGCATCAAATACATCACAAAACATTTTTTAGCCAACAATAAAAATACACTAAGCGCTGACGTTGATGCTTTAGATATTTGGACACTAATAAAGATGGAGGTGGATGGGGAAAGATCACAGCAACGGTGGCCGAAAAATCCCACATTGTGAACCTGGCAATAACCAAAACGTCATCTTTTTTTTAGAGGTGCACTAACCTCGAACAATCTGCAGCTGCTGGACCATCTCCTCCCTGTAGGACAGCTCACGCTTCATTTGGTCCTGGAAATTATCTAATGACACACACAGACAAGGCCTTGTCACACGGAAACTTGCTGAATGTTGGAAGGATTTTAAAAAATTAAAAACATCAAACCTCGCTCTCTGTAAATCAAGACGCCTCATTTCATTGTGACTTTAAAATCCACTCACTTTTTCTTTTACCTTTTAAATGCTGAAACTCTCGCTCCAGCTTCTTCCTCAGCTCCACTTGCTCCACCAGCTGCTTCTGCAGCTCCTCTGGAAAACAAAACAAACAAAATGATTGGGACAYGTGACCACGTTCTGTCTGCAGATACAACCCTATATAAATACATATAATTTCAGCTCATAAAAAGCTGTGTTGGAGCTCAGTAAGTCGACTTCAGGTGCGTCTCCAGCCTCAATAAGAACCATTTCAGCTCTTTCCCCCCCTCTCGCTGGCTGCCACAGTAATTGCCACGCATCGCCTGGAGGTGGAGACGATAATAATAATGGAGTCCCGGGGTTTTTCCAAGCGTTGTAAAATAATTAGCTGGCGTGCCTCGGGGTTACGGCTCTGTTCGTTAAAATATTAATAGCCTCTAAACGATTTCCCCCTTACAATAATAAGTCAAAACTCCTACATCTCGTGATTAAGTGGTTAACAACTATGGAAAACACTGTAGGCCCATAAAATGCAAATTCACGTGAACAATTTTGGCACATGGTCTTTAGCAGGAGAGCTGCTCGATCCAGTGAGGCGCAAATCAGCGTTAATATTAATGTTTTTATCGAAGGTATGATGGAACAGACACAAAAATACATTTTACTAAATGAGTAGTTTGGAAGATAAATCCACACATCAGACTTCAAATTACAATAATTCAGATAAAAACTATAATGTTAAAGCTGCTGGCAGTGGAGCTTTCAGGTCTTCATGGTAACCAGACACTTATAAAAGAGGCAGACAGAAACAAACTGAAAAATAAGCCTCAAACATACAACCGCTGAGTGAAAATTATTCATCAGATCTTTAAGGTTCAGAAGACATAAAAAAAAGAAACAAAGATGCATATAAACCACAAAAGAAAATATAAATTTAAATACACTTGAATAAATTGAAAGAGTATATGCATTCCATTTTGAGGAACAGTTTAGTGTCAAAAATTAGTTACCAGAGAAAATTCAAAAAACTGGTCAAAGCCAATCAATTTATGTTCAAATTAATTGAAAAAATTATTGATTTCAAATGTTGTCTAACAAATTATTCTTAAAGAAATACAGATTCCCTTTTCCAAACTATGTTTTAACATTTATAACAAAGAAAAAAGATTAAAATTAGAAAAACGCACCATTGTCTTTTATTCAWTGGGCCTTATTCTCACAATTTCATTAATATTTCTTACATTTTGTCACCATCCAGCAAATCTGTTAAAAAAGAAAATCTTTACAAAAATTTAATTATTGGATTTTAAAATGGAAGAGAATTAAAATCAACTGATGAGAAAAAAACTGCATAAATACAATGACAAAAACAGCTAACCCTAAACCATAAAACTGTTTAAAATATTGGGGCCCGATAAAATGTTACTGAGGCCAGATTTGGCCCACTGGCCTTGAGTTTAACACATGTGGTTTAGATGATGAAATCAAAGGAAGCAGATCTGTTGGTCAGTTTTAGAAAATGTTTAAATCAATATGTTCTCAGGCGATAGAGAAGTGGAAGGGTTTGAGTCTGAGTGTGAAGAGTAAAATGGTAAAGTGAAGGTTTATGCAGTGTCATAAAGAAATCATTGAATTTCTTATGTTTTCAAATAAAAGAGAATAGTTATTTTATAATTATCTATTTATATAATGCTTTTTTTCCCAAACGTTTTCTTTGTTTATCACATTGTGCTACATACATCTTTTGTCTTAATTCTGACTTTTTTTAATTAAAATTTTAATAGATAAAAAATGTGCAAAAACCGTGACATGTTAAAAGAATTAGCTTGTACTCAGAGTACTATTTGTTCAAAAGGTTTGAACATTTTAGATATTTCTAAAAACAGTCATTTGAACGGCAAAATCCCCAAAAGTCAAGAAACGAAGCAGTGATTTCGTACAAACCATAAAAACTTCATTTCAATAAAGTCCAACTTTTTGTGAGTCTCAAGATATTATGTTTTGGGGAAAAAAAAGTGCATATATTTTCAATTTTTCTTTCTTTTTCCAAAGCGGCGGAGCATTTAAACTGACAAATATGCTGAACAAATAAACAAAAAAAAAAGCAATAATACTGCTTTAATACTCAGGCCTTGGCACCCTTTTTTTTTAAATTACAGATAATTAATGTCAGATGTTTCTATTCTCCTCTTTCAGCCTGTGAGGCCTCACTCACCTTTGGCCATGTTCTCCAGGTCTCTTTCATGCACGCTGATGTCGATGCGCAAAGCTCCATCAGCTGCACACAAACAACACAGTCCAACAATTAACCCACAAATCAGACATGTGGAATGTTACTTCAATGAAAAAAGGGGCCAACAGAAAAAAATAAAAAAAAAATAAAAACCTTGTCTGTCCTTTTGCTCCCGGTAGGATGCAGCGCTGCGTTGGGTTGGTGTCTCAGGCAGGTGATGACCGGCTGAACAGAAACAGGGGATGGGTTCAGTCAAAAGACCCCCCCCACACACTCACTGATAAATCTGCATACATGCCATAAATCAGACAAATAATTACCACTGGATCTGCTGCTGGATTGTTTGGAGCCATAAGGAGGAGAGGGTTTGTGCAGGAGCAGCACCTGTCCGTCCTTTTCAGGGGGGTACACCTGTAAAACCAAAGCACAGCCCTGTTTAATCATGGAGGCCAATTAAAGCCTATTAGCTGCTGTTCTTCACTTAATTGAGGCAATTTTTTTCTTCTCTTTTCGATACAAGATGAAAAATAGGCTTTGCATTTAAAACCCACTAAACTGAGCAACTGTTCAGACCCAGCAGAGCTTTTTGAAGGCGGGTTGAATATGAAAAGAAATCAGGGTCAGTTGTTATCAGAACGGATCAGCTCATGAGAGTTAATGTTTGGTGTTTATGTTGCTCAGCAGCAGTTAAATCAAACCAGGTTATATTTTTATTTGTGTCACAGATTTTTATGTTTATTTCAGGACATATTTACCGCCACAGTCCAGCTG